ATCCTGGAGGGATAGCACGCTTGGTTAAGCGGGAGGAACCGGTCAGGATTTGACGCCAGATCGCACTCGCCAAATTTTTTGCGTTTACTCCCTTTTTGTAAGCGGCACGCATTCCGCTCCAATCAGAACCGTAGTATTGGACTTTATGGCTTAAATAATGACCTCAGGGGCCAGCCTATGTTTTTACACTCCCAGACGAATCTGGTACCAATTTAGCGTCTCCAGGGCGTAGAAGGTCTGGTTGGCCTGGGCAGGTGTCGACCCGGAACATGATTCCTGGATCGCGCGCTCGGTAAGCGTGCCACTTGCCACTACTACCCCCGCTTCGCAGAATGCGCCTTACACCCCGGAAGACAGGGTAATTTCAGTTTTTCCAATAATACAATGAAGCAGCTTGCTCTTCGCTCCTCAGAGGCGCTGGCCAAGGCAATGTTTTTATCCTCCTAGGCTAACTTGTCACTGATTGACTGGCCCTGGAGGGATGGAATGTTCGGTTGGCGTGGGCGTGAATCAATTCAGTTTCGACCCGAAACCGCCACTGCGGCAAGCAGCCTCACTTCAGCATCACCTATGTAAGGACAAAGGATCTAGTCCTCACGGTGGATTAGCCTCTTATTGGGATGCGGCACGCATTCCACTCCGACTCAGGAACGTGGTGGCTTTTTGAATGCAATATGGCCTATATAATGCCTTGTGGTGGTCAACCTATGCAAAAATCAGTGTTGTTATTCTCCCAAATCAGTCTGGTACCAATTTACCGTCTTCAGGGGTTGAAAGGCCTGGTTGGCAGGAGCCAGTCCGCGATTCTCCCTGTCCGCACGCGTAGTAAGCGTGCTGCCTGCCTCTACACCTCCGCCCAATCTCCAGTTGATTTTTAAATATGTTTTTCTAATTTGTGATGGCTTGTAATACGATTCAAAAGTGTCCAGCTCTTGTTCTATGTGAGGTTTTTTCCAAGTGGACGAAAAATTCGTAGACACTAGAAACCCGCTATACTTGATTTGTTTCAGATATCACAAGAGATTGGTCTGATCATGCGCTGTGGTGGCCTGAAAAGCGTCGCTGGCTTCAACATACTCGATCCACTCTGGATCAATGTGGTGTAACAGCCGATAGTAAGCTGGAATTCACGCCAATGCACAAGGATGCCAGGTGGGTCCAGTAGGGCACAGGCATACTGCTACTTACGAAATAAAAAAAGGTTGTATTGTTTTGTAGAGTTCAACTTCCTGACAACCAGATTATCGAGGCTCGACTAGATTTTTCTGTGAACGCCTTTAAAGCAACACAAAAGCTTTGCCGTGACCTGGGAATCAGGCATTCTGAAGAGCTAGGACTGAAAAGGTAACGCTTTGAATTTATTCATTTGGGATATTGACAGTTTCCATTTTCTAGGCTAATCCCACCTGATGTTCTGCGTAAAGGAACCTATGAAGCTGAAAACTCGTCAGGCCCACAACCAATACGTCCTGGAGAGGTAATTTTCAAGTTTTTTTTTAGCGCAGTTCGACTTATTGGGGAGCAATTGGTACTCAGCGAAGCTGTAACCACCCTATGTAATTTCATGAAACCGTAGTGGCTCACATGCACCGTTTCACTTCGCTTCACAAGAATTCACAGGCTGCGTTCAGACTTCACGATGACGCGCGTCACGTGCTACCGCTGCTAGTGCGCCCTAATGCTGCAGACGCGGACGCAGTAGCCGCTTGCATTTTGAGAGAACGTAGGATACTTAGAGGAGGGTGCTGCTTTCACACAATCCTTCCGTTGCTCAGGCTATCCGAAAGCACAACGACGACGCCGATTGACTCCCATCTGCAGCTGCGTTCGCGTCTATAATGTTAGGGCACCCACTGGTAACATGTCGATGCGCGTTACAGCGTGTCGTCGGGCATCATCGCGAAGTCTGAACGCCGCCTTGCAATTCTTGATACAGTGAGACCTGTTAGTTAACATGGATTAGCAAAAGTAACTAGAGGGAGTGCAATAGCCCCCCCCCCTTCCCACCCTTCCCTCTACTCGACCACTTTTTTTCAGTAGAACAGCGTCTTTTTTCCTCCCTAAATACCACCATAGCTAATGCTATTTCAAACGTTACAGCCATATTCGTTATGGCAAAAGCTTGTTAATCGAATTCTTACTATTTTTAGGAGTCCGTCGGTCCGATGACGCTTCGAAAGGCCACTCCAATCTTCGCCTCTCAGACACAAATTGATGGACGCATGCGCCGCGGACAATCACCGGCCTTGTCAACGAGTGGCCACATCTTCAATGCTCATGAGATGGGCACACTACCAAGACATGGCACTCTTCCCCGGGGAGCGAGCCCTAGTCCAGGCGCAGTATGTTTAATGTTTTGTTTCCGTAAAACTATGTCGAATCTACAGAATTTTCCCAGCACTACACATTCGTTTAGTACAATGCAACAATGAGCCGTGTGCCGATAATGCCCAGTATCAGTTTTTGCGAAGGTGAGGTTATTTTGGAGATTTTAAGGTTGCAGGTGTAAAGCCACGGTACAGCATCGTTGTGCAGAATCCTTGAGGGCTGGCTCGTTTTTAATCACCTGGAGGAGGGCCTTAAAGTTTTCTCGCTGCGGATGATGAGTTGTGTCAGGGGGTCTGACCTTGACGCGGCGTCAGCTTCAACAACAGTTATAGAACTGGATGGCACCGCGGCAAGCCGGCCTTCCTGACGCCAAAGACTCCGCAGCGAACAAAACTGTAGGTGATTTAGGGACAATTTTTTTCCGGTTGTTGATTCTTCCCTATTTACGGCCTCCTCGCACTGCTTTTCTTGCTCCACGGCAAAACTTCGAGAAAATCGTAAGTAGGGGTGTTGTTTGCTGCGGATGATCGGCCGTGTCACTGCGTCGGCGGCGCCAAACGAATTCATTTTTCAAAGCCTTGTGGCGGGTAAACAAGAACAGTTGGTGGAAAACGACTGATAAGAACAAAATGATGCAGTTTGTGGCTTGCTAGCTTCTGTAACTGGTGGAAAACGGGTTTGGCGCTGCGCAAAACGCTGCCGTTTTACTGCCCATCGTCCACAGCGAATAAGACGTAGATTGTGAGACAGTCGCAGTGCAGGAGAGAATTTGGGGAAGAGAGGTGAAGGTCATACTGACACAGCCGTTATACCTTTTCTGATACGGTACCCTGTGCGGTGCAGAAGATCCCCAGCAGCGACGCGGCATTCGCAATGGCGTCGCACGCGTGTTCTCCCTCTCAAGGTCTAACTGATTCAACTCGAATGTGCTATGTGTAATCGGATGGCGAAAATAATTGCTAGTTTCTGCCCATCGTCGCAGCGCGAATCCCCTGGCCCACATCATGAGGTTCCTTATTCATCGCTGAAGAACTTTTTCTCAGCTAGATATGTTCAGGTCTCGAGAATGAGCAGTTCGATATGGCCCTTGTGCATACTCCACGCCAGGCAGCAAATCGTGATACTCTTGTTTTCCGCCCACAAAATTATGTTGAAAAAGCTGCATTGAATAGAGGATGGCTAGACTCGAGCAGGTAAAAATTGTCGATGATTCGAAGAGGGTCTCAACCGCGTCCTAATCCTATTCTGTTTTCAGATCATTGATGGAGCAGGGAGTTTTTGAAGGTGATATCGTGCTTCTACGCTTCAAATACATGACCTTCTTTGACCTTAATCCGAAGGTATGTTCGAAATGTTCGTTGGTTCTGGGATAAGGTATCTGCCAAGAGAATCGTCATATGCCGCGCTGATTGGCGTGGCGAGCGACCTTGAGCATTTTAGTTCCGCTGCTCCGCAGTATAGTGCACAAGTATCTGCGTGTCGCCGCGCGGTACGCCGCCCGCGACAACGCCACAGATAACGATTTCTTGTCCGCCTTCCAAAGACCGGACAATCAACATACTCTTTTTTTACTGCTTGATTCTTTTTTTTCCTAACTCTTTTTACTGTTTTAAGTATGACCCTGTACGTATAAACCAGCTATACGAGCAAGCCAAATGGTCGATTTTATTGGACGAATTCGATCATACCGAAGAGGAAGCTACGCTGTTCGCCTCGCTACAGGTATCATTTGGTCTGACCTATCGGTAGTCTGCCCATACACCTTGTAGATTTTATTTTCAAAAAACGATCCCCTCTCTCTACATTTGCTCCTCTGGTATAGCCTCTCTACTCGCGTATAGCCTCCCTTACTCCTTTCTCCATTCTACTTGAGTTGTCTTTGGAATCGGGAAGGGGTTGAGAGGTTTCCGATGAACTAGCAGCTTTGCACCGGGGCCAAGCAGGGTGCCTTGAAACAGGAAAAAGCAACAATCAGGAAACGTTTCTTCCTATAGGACAAAATACCGGTTCCCTCTCTCTCGGTTAGCGGAGAATATACGAAAATTTCTCTTGTTGTATTTTACACACTGGTGAGCCTCGTCCATATCATTGTCACACTTCCTTATGCAAAAACTCTAGGTCTTTCCTTCAAGCTTTTGCGAACTTACCTCTATGCAGTTTTTTACAGTTGTAAAGAAGCTCTACCCCTTTAGTGAAGGTTTTCGAATCTTTTGTGAATCTGCCCTGACTAAGCAACGTATACATACTGAATGGTGAACCGCTAAGAACATGGATGCCCTTTTTGTTCCCCCTTTCCCTGTCATTTTCCTGTCCTCATATGCTTCTTGTTGGCATTCTCGCACTAACTAAGGATAAGAAGTCTTTTCTTTCCCATCTGACATTTATTTCCAGTACCGTTGGTTGGAGAATCCAAGAATAAGGGAGAATCGAGTAACGTAATCGATAAATACTCAATACCTTTTCGAAATGCTATTAAAACGCTGAGAATGCTGGGCTAAAAGTGCATTCATTAAAAGTGCAGGCGGCAGCATTTGGAGCGTACACTAGCTTTTTGAGCTACTAAGAAAGTATAGGTATTGATTATTGCTGAAAACCTGGTAGACGCTCAAAACGCCTGATCGATACCTATACTCTAATCGCTAATGCTGGTGGACGCTCCAAACGCAAGCAGACGGTCAGAACGCTGACGCAAAGTATGAACGCTCTGCTTGTCACCACCTGATTCTCTCATTTCCGTGGCCACCCGATTCGTCAGATCGATCCATACACATGTAGTTTTGCGAGTTCTGAGGTTCTTCAACGACGGTCTATGAACGTGGCTTTGTGGTTGTCCATTTAGTGTGATCTTATTATCCAGTTCATTGCTGTTAGGCTAGCTCCCGTTACCCGTAATCCGACCCCTGTTACGCTGGATTAGTCTGAATGTAATACAAATCTCAACAGAGGAAAAGTTTCATTATGACAGCTGCTCTTTACCGCCGCAGGTCGCGCTGCGAAGGTTGTCATAAGGTTCCTGGGTTGTGGGCAAAAGTCCCGCCTGGGTCAAACTTCTACCCATAACTCAGCGTTCCTAAAATAGCTCAACAAGATTTCGTTGGTGTGTTTTGCTTGTGTTTTCTTCAGTATATTTTTGTTTATAGTTGCAAGCGTCGCTTCAGCGAGATTCTCCTGAACCTGAAGGACCTGTGAAGGATGACGTTGATATGATGCTGGATGAGTTGGTCCGTGAATTATTCAGCCTATTTTGTCGTTGATGGCACTCCATTACCAATATATTACTTTTACCAATATGTTACTTTTTTAGGAGCAAAATCTGGATGCTGCCGCACTTGGTCGTCGTTCTGACCTCATGCAAGTGCCCGAACTTGCAGACTATCTTAAATACATGAAGTTAGTTTTAGATTGCGCTGATTTTGAGATGTTGTTCCATAACAATATCGAACTGTCTCAGGCCCAAGAAGATTGCTGCCTTCAAGGGATTCAAACGAGCGTTCTTTTCATTCCGTGACCTGTATCTAAGCTATTACCAAAGTTCGAACGATTTGAATCAAGCTCCTCTCGGCCACTTTTCACTCAAAGGTATTTCAATGTGTCAGTTTTTGTGTTATTGTAGCATTTAAAGCTATTTCTTGTGTTGTATCAGGTTGCGAAGTCAGCCCTGATGTCTCTGTGTCCCAAGGAAAATATCAAATCAAGTTGCTTGTTCCTACGGCTGAAGGAATGACTGATTTTGTGCTGAAATGTGATACGGTTGGTTCTTTTTAATACAAATGCGTTCACTGGGTGCTAGTCCAATTTAGGTGAGCAGTCCAGTACCTTACATGTTAGCAGGGCACGTCGCACGTTGGGGTTTCCCCAGGGAGAGAAGCGTATTCGGTCGGTGAACGGAGGGGGATAGTACTTGCCTTTGAGAAAAGTATTTTCGGTAGTCGGATTTTTCTGGCTTTTTCGAGGCACAGACGCCACCAACTCAACGGTATTTACTTCCGGGAACCTGGAGAATTTACTCGGAAAAGTAGAAATTTGTTGAGATCTCAGGAAGATGAGGTAGGATGGGGAAGGGAGTACCGTACCAGAGATGGAAATTTTGCAGCGGAGAGTCGTATTTTGCAAAATTTTTCCCCAAGGGCAGGACACGCTTGCCAGGTCGCCTGCTTACTGCCCCACTGTGTGAAAACGACGGGGGGGCGTGAGACATTGAGGATGTGACATTCGCTGTTCAGGGGTTAGAGGTATCTCGATAACGATAGCGCTGATGCGACTGCAGACAGTTATAGCCAAACATAGCTATAAATGTCCACAATTTCATAGTCTACTTGGAATTGCTCCTCCAGTCGGCACGCTAACGCCGATCGAGAAAGAGCCGCGCTCATAGCGCGTGCGACAGAGCGGCAAGTTCCGATTGTCTTGACCGTCTCCCCAAACCTAAGCTGAACTGGCGCCTGAGATGTTTTCACTGTTGAAGTCTTTTTATCCAAACTAATTTATTTTAAGGAGCATCAGTATGCACGATGGATGGCAGCTTGTCGTTTGGCATCACGGGGTAAATCTATGGCCGATTCGTCATATCCACAGGAAGTAGAGAGTATAAAGAATCTTCTGCATATGCAAAGTGCAAGTAAGCTATTTTCGGTCTCCTCTTGTTACAACTTCCTCCGCTATCATTTGAGCACTGCGACGATTTTATGATCTGTCTCCAAATCTTTGTGGGGGCGAGAGATACCAATTGTTCCGCTGTTTTTCCTTCATTTGATGGCTTTGCAGCCAATGGGCGAAGCGAGAGCGGTACTGCGCGGCGATCAACGCCAGTAAAACTACCAAGCGATTTCAACGTGGATGAATATGTCTCACAAAGATATGTACGGAAAGCGAGGAGTAAACAAGCGGTTAGTATTTTCATTTTTTTAGCAGTTTTTCGAAATTATGGGACTTGCTTCAAACCACTCAAGATTGATAAATCAGGTTTACCGGCCTATGTTTCGGCAGGGAATGCCTACTTCAGAGCCTCAGAAGACGGAACTGCGTATGACTACACGACCAGACGTCTCTGCTACAGTACTGAAGTTCGGGCTCAGTGCAAGTCCTCACTTAACAGTAATGAAGGCCGCGGACCACGCCTTGGTCTACTCTGTGAGACCACGTAGTCAAAGGACCTGTACGGATTTCAGCAGGGTAGTGGGGACTTTTGACCGCGTAGCCATGAACTGGTTCGATCCTCTTGGCGACGAATCCGCCTAAATGTAGGCCAATAAAGTTGATTTATGAACCGCGTGTGGAGTTGAGGCAAAACACCTTACGATTAATATAATTAAGTGGTTTATGAGAAGGCGTACATGGCGTTTTTTAACAGTCTTTTGAAGAAAGTTTCAAAAATTTCTGCATTTCTTTAGCTGCAACAACGGGTTGCCGATGCACACGCGAACGTGCGACAGTTGTCGTCCACCGAAGCGAAACTGCAGTATATCCGTGCCTGGCAAGCTCTGCCCGAACATGGCATACACTATTTCATCGTCCGCTTCCGAAACGGACGAAAGGCCGATCTGATTGGTATGATCGTGCTTTTGTGGCTTGAGAAGTTTTTTTACGTACATTTCTCTCATTTTGTTCAGGAGTTGCCATCAATCGTCTCGTGAAGATGAATATGGATAATGGCGAAAGTATCAAAACATGGCGATTTGCGAACATGAAGAAGTGGCACGTGAATTGGGAGATTCGGCACTTGAAGGTGAGTTTCAGGTTTGTCTAGTGCTGAAAACCAACAGAAGAACAGATATTGGATTCCTTGAATGCGAGCCAGGACATCCGTATCTGGTAGGTAAAGCAACGCGCACTGTGGCGTGATGCTTCACCATCATTGTGGCCGTGGTACATAGGCTACTCTACTTAAAGAGTCGCTCACGCGACTGGAACTCAAACCTTCTGGATTCTTCAAATCCTGTTGACTCTGTAGGCTCAGCCCATCGTTAGTGAATCGAGGACTTAGTATCAGGATCTATCGAGGATTGATAGTTTTGCTATGGCCTCACTCGTTCTTCATATCAGAACAGAATAGAATAGTATGAGTTTCACTGGAAACGGTACCTTTCCTAGGAACCGTGGGAATTCCTCCAACGAAGTGCAAGAATTTAAGCAGGCTTATACAACTAATCTGGGTATGCACGATTACATCGTGGAGAGGTCCTCGCGGTGGTGGGCGTGGCTGTTGATGCAGCAGCCATCGCGTACGAGTTGTGTTGCCTCGTGGCTCGTTCAGTTTCTTGAAGGGGACATGGATGGGCGGTCCACTATTTCGAGAACGCCATAAGCTAGCACAAATCCCTTGCACTAATGACAACTCGTGGATGCGGGACTCTGCGCAACCCTGGAATTGCCGCGCCATTCACTGCGCGGAGTGAGCGGCGTCACCCAACTAGCTCGTGGCAGATTTGCCCGTCTCTCTACTATTTCTTAGGATTGCATAGATTGTGACATTATTAGCTTGCTGGTAAGATCCTTGTATTTTTTCCAAGGAGCACCTATTCAGGTTTGGGACTTTATCTCCATGTTACCATGGAGCGCACAGGGTAGCAGAGCATTCTTTAGCTAGTTGACTCGCCATAGTGCAGCATCTTCAGTGGCGCGAATGGCGCGCACGTGACGACACGTGCTATGCCACCCGCCGTGCATAGCGCATGCAGCGCTACGCCTTCATACGCTACATCGCTGTAATGTCTCAAACCACAGTATTGCCGCGTTTTCAAGAGTGAATAGATGCTGGTTGCAAACCTGTCGCAGAGTTATTGTGGATCGTTCGCCATTAATTGTTGGCCATTGTGCGTTATCGTTTTGCATTGGAACGGCCCTTTTTTAACTTCGGGAATCATACAATTACTCTGTCGTTGTTATGAAACCTGTCATCGACAAATGCCTGCCGGAATTTTTGCGAGGTGTTCTTTTTTCATCCGACGAAGCTTCATTGATGCGAATTATAGAACGACTCGAACGCGGCGGGGGGTTTGGAGTTCCTGTAGTTTCTTTTATTAGCTCCCGTTAGAATACACATCTTACATTGGTAAGACCCGTAGACTTGTCAAGTGAAAACGAAGCTCATACTACTGCATACAGGATTTTGCAGGTCTCCAGGGGAGCGTAGCAGGTGATTGATGGGAGCCAACGAAATGCTACCCATAAGACTGAATTGCGCCGAAAGCTACAATAGTCCAGCATCGAATGCTGGGCTTTCTGCAGTCCATATCTGAGGGCAGCAAGTAGCGTGGCTGCGAGGGCGGCGACGGTTCGGATGAATGAGAGGCCGAGACGTACGTGTAAGAGGGGAGAGCAGGCTCGAAAACACACAGCCTCGTCGCAACGCCTCTTTTCGCCGTGTGATATGGCGTATGCAGTGGTTTCTGTTGCTACATTGGTATTTGTCAAGGGCCAGGTTTGGCGCGGGATCAACCCGTTCTTTACCGATTGTTGTAGTGGACGAGCAACTAAAGTTGGTGGAAAAATGGCTGGCACCGCGCCAAGCCCAACGCACCCCCCCCTACTCTGACGTACAGCGAAAACAGCCTTGCATTCTAGCATTGAATATGACAATTTATGCTGAAATGTGTCTATTGCAGATTCAGTTCGAGGACGAAGATATTGAATTCAAGCCGTTATCAGCAGACTGCAAGGTAGGCAAGCTCTCAGATCATTTTCATGAGTTTTTCCTCAAAGTAAGATGTTTTAGATTGTTCACGAGTTCATTGGTGGCTACATATTCCTGACGATGCGAAGCAAAGAACAAAATCAAACGCTTAACGAAGAGCTATTCCACAAATTAACTGGTGGATGGGGATAAAGTAATAATTTAAAGTCGATTTGTAGACTGTCCATGATATCATTCTAAGCTCACACCACTGTCATTAGCTAGCTAAGTTTTTCTTACCGGCCATTTTATGATGTTCGCCTCTGTAACCATGGCCTACTTTTGAAAAGCGTAACCAATGTCTTTAACGGTTTGGGGCCTTTAACGTTCTATAGAACTAGAACTAAATATTAATACGCCAATGGTTCGCTGCGATAGAATTCGATTAAATCGTATAAATTAGTACAATTAGTCATAGTTAAAGTGTCAAAAAAATGACAAGATTGTACTTTAATATGTTTGGAAAGTTCTATTCATGTGTGATAGGTGCCTTTCTATGTACATTGATTACGCACACGGATAATCATGGTTCGCATATGCTTGCTGATTCCTAATAAAATATCTTTCGATGTGTTTGTGTTTCATGATTAAAGGTGGCACGATATATCAGCAAGGCGTGCAGGGTAAATACGCCTAGCTCGAAAAATTATTACTCCACTTGGCAGAAGCTGTGTGACGCCCCTTTCAACCAATGGCGCCATTTTAACGCATAATCAAAGCGCAATATGCCGACCGAGAGCCCACCGCAACCGCCCGACCACATGCCCGACAGTCGCATCGACGCTGGTACTGTTCTTTGCATTTATACCATGCATGAAGCATTGCTGCATGGATACATCACCTACAGTCGTGCCTATCAGAGCGGTTTTTGGCACGATGCCAAAACTCGTCCAAAATGTTGTACAGAACAAAGGCTTTTTTCGCAGCTTTTTGGCTATTTAGTTTCGCTTTTTCATCATTTTCCCGCTTCGTCACCCCTGCCACTAGAGCAATTAATAAATTATCGTACCATATGCCTCTAATGTTATGGTAAAAGGAAAAAAAGATTTGGCGCAGTTTCGCCCCGTGGGGGCACTAAATGATACTGTGCTATGTTTGTGCAGGCCTGGGAAATTCTGTAAACTCTTGTCGCCGAAGTGAGGGACAGGGACGAGAAATGCCTACTACTCGTCGCGTCGCGTGCAAAGTCGTGCGGCGATGCGCGGTAAATCCGCGTTGTTCATAAGGTTGTTCATTAGTACAGCGAGACTCGTATGAGTTCAAGCGCAGACATGACTCGATGACGAGCCATATGAAAATTTCTCGTTCCTCTAAGATTCAAACTTCCGGACAAAACAACCCGTCTACGGGCGCGGTGTCGGCCGCCACGTCCACCAGCGGCAATGCCCTTCCCAAGCCCAATAGCTTTCTAGCCGGAGCTATTCTATAGCTATAGCCGAAGCTTCCTTAGGAGTTACTCGATTTTCGTTGCTAGTCGTGCTGACATTCTAAGCCATTATGAACCAGTGCAATAGGGAGAGCCCATGGTTCTCCGGCTATTGCATGGACGGGCATGGCTCGACATTCTTTAGATGGAGTGGGCGGACTCTATCGTGTGAGGGCGGCATGTGGGCGGACAAATTTTTCCCTCTGATCGGAGGTTCGCTTCAGATCTCCGTAGCTGCTTTGGCGTAGCGAATTGAGGGCGCAGCTTCTTCCTCATCAGTTTTTCTCCGCCGAACGGCACAGCTCCTCAATCTGAGTTCACAAGTAGCCCGAACCTCACTTCGTCATAAAAAATGTAGGCTCCGCTTTGGAGAACTAGCGTCGTGGAAGGTTGTCCGATAATTGAGTTCCTTATTCAGCTCCATTATTATGGGATTTGCAGCTATCATGCTGGCGTCGAGTGGTGGAAGAAAGGGTTTGAGGAAGTGCTTGGAGGGGTCGGTAGCGAATAATCTCAATTGTTCATAGCTGGCAGAAGAAGTAAGAACAGGTAGCCAAAGGCGATAGACGCTAAATAGAAAGACACTGCTTTCCTATGGTAAGAGCTTTCACATTACAGGTTTGTCAGCTCTTCGGTATGGGCAAGTATTTTTGAGTTTTGAAAAGTGTACAGAATTTTCGCGCAACCTAATAGAAAGCGTGCCGCGCTCCGAAAAGGTATAGACTGAAAGAAAAGTTTTACTTTTTCCCTCCGCCACTACCGTCCGAATCATAGTACGCTTTATTGAGATCCAAAAGGTTCGTACCCCCAGAGCTGTTAATGGAAGAGCATTCTAAGTTACTGGATATCCTTAGCTTGCCAAATGATTGGAAGTTATTTAGTCGCAAACAGATGTGGCTCAATGCAGGTTTATTCGCGAAAACTCATTGGAAAATCCAGTGCATGTGGGAGCTTATTGATGACCAGTTCGTTTGAATCCAAGGGTTTTCTTCGGCAAGAGATGCTTGTTAACTTCATGCTGTAGTCGTTTCGTACGGTGCTGGGCTTGATATTGGTACTTGCTCTGTCACATAAGTCGTTACTTCTTCTACTGTAGATGGTTTAGGGGTTGTATCCGTTGGCCATGTGGTGCTTGATTCCATCGTTACTGTTTCTGCTGTTGTCGCTTCAGGAGTTGTAACTGGCCCAATCATTGTTGACTCGGTGATGATAGGTTTTTTCGTTGTAGGGTGGTGTCGTGGCGAGGGTGTGGTAGCGACGTTCTCATGCTCCCATTCCATCGGCTATCCGAATGAACATCCTCATGTCCATGCATGTTTCTGAATATCAGAAAATTGAGCTCAGAACCGCGAGGGACGCATTCGGCCGGTAATCGGGCTCAGTCGGAGGGGGGGGGGCTCATTTTGGCGCACTCGCCGTTCTTTGGCAAGTGATTCTTGCCTCAATGTTCTCGCCCGTTTCTTTACAAAGTGCATTCTTGCTCAAAAGCCTCACGAAATAAACCTTCACAAAGCTGCTAAAAGATAAATGCGGGCTACTGAATTCACAGGAATTTACAGATTTTCACAGAGTGGCCTGCGCGATTGTGACTGCGAGTGCCATTGGATGTACCCACCAAGCCGATAGGAGCCAATTATCCTACAAAACACACATAATATCAGCCAAAATAATCATTACCTTGTGCCAACCGCCACGATGTCCACGATGTCCTCGCCAGCCGCCAGGTCCGCCCAAGAATTTGTCAAAATCGTCAAAATCTGGAGGACTTGGTATACGGTCTCGCCAGCCTCCGCGTCTACGCCAGGGTGAATCGCCCGGCCACGCCGAAGCGATTGCCAAAACAACCACAGCCAATACCAGGGTAACCTTCATTGGATCCTATCGGTCTTGGTCGCGATGGCATTTTATACTCTGCTTGGGGTAATCCAAAAGCAATGAGATTCGCATTTACTTTGATTGTGTTTGCATTATACACGTTTATATTAGTGCCCATCAATGCTTATGAGATCACACTGAAAAATTCGCGAAAACTCGTGCAAGTGCTGAGGTATGACAGGTTTTTTATAGCTGCCAGTGCCTTATGGTGTAAACTTCAGGCAGTTTGGGCATGTTCTGGTCTGCTCAACTCGCAATATGAGCTCATTAAAATGGCGCGGGCAGAACCTCCAGAAAGCTGGCCCCCATTCTTGAACATCCAGGTGAATACACAGCAGCATTCTCTTTAGAAAATGGTACAGCAAGGCCAGCGACAAGAACATCATCGCACACTGCCAGTCAGTCCACCCTTTGCAGATCACATGCGCTGTCATTAGGAACATGTTCCGAACAGCAGCACACGTCTGCTCGGGAGATGAGGAGCAGAGGGAGTTTCTAAAACTGGCTCACGATATAGCTATCAGGATGGCCAAGGGACTACTTAGACCTGCCACAAAGGCAGAAGTGGTGGGGCAAACAGTAGATGCGGTGGTAGATGAGCAGCAAAATCCCTTCCATTCTGACATTTGTCTCCGATGAGGTGAACACTTCTGTCAAGACGTGCCTGAAGAGATCAGATTTGGATGGCATAGTAGCCATCATGAATGTACCACCCAATAGGTTAAGGCGCCTGGTCAGAAATCGGTTGTACGACTGGCCTATCTACAACCCCTGTAGTCTGCCCGACTGGCAAAGAGGGTGATTGTACTATTTCAGGGGAGGTCTACAAAATCAAATGCCGTAGCTGTGGAGCAGTATATCGGCGAAACAGCTGGTCTGATGGTGGAAGAGCACCTGGAGGGCAGAAACAAGTCACGCTTGTCAACTACCGTGGAGGCCCATGGGGTTCATAACCATAAGGGAGAAGGTTTTGGGGTCGCCGTTGACCACAAACCTCCGCGCGAAAAAACCGTCGCGGCATTTTGGATCCAGGTCACAGACCCAAAAATGAACCGGAGGGAATAGTGCTTTACTATCACTCAGGAACTGAGGCCCTGTACAAGGCTGACCTTCCACGAGGGACTCTGACGAAGAACAGTCCGACTAGGTTTTCCAGCTTCCTATTGGTCTTGAGGATCGGGCTGGGATACGGTAAGTGGTCTTCCACTGATGATGATAATGACCTGTTTTGGTGTCGAACTTTAGTAGGGTAGCGGAGACGTTTGATCGGATAGTCACAAATATTTTCGATCCTTTCAGGCTCTGAAGGCAGCGTTACACCGAAACGTGCGTAAGTCAATAAAGTTTCCACTAACCTCGCGAAATACAGTAAGGCTTACAGCCCTCTGTCTCTGTTCCCTCCGTTTGTCGTGGGGTTTCATGGAGTCATGGAAAGAAATGCATCACCGATAAGCTGGAGCTCAGTCCAGTTGTCGACCTGCCTCTGAAGAAAATTCGGTGGCTATGCGATAGAGACAATTCAATTTGCTTGGAGAGATTATGGCACAACCCATTGTTCCAGATAATTCACTTAAAAGCTCATGGGACTTAAAACGTGCAATATGTAGCTGATTCGAAGTCTTGTTGCTCTGACTTATCGTCAAATGTGAATTTTATTAGGTGCTGTATCGCTCAGCTACTCCCCATATCAATTCCCATAAACCGATATGAACTAATGGAGAACGAAATGGGCTTCTTGTTATCATTTGTAACACTTTCTATTCCC